TGTTTGGCCGGAATCGCGATTCGGCGTATGCCAGCTCACATTATCCGCGGTTTCCAGTCTTTTTGTGGTTTTAAACGTTCAAATATGTGAAATGATGTTGGTGCCATGCATAATGGTGGGTGTCAAGGTCACGTGAAGGTCAAGTCAAGGTCATTGACCTTTTGATGACCTTGGTTCACTTTTTCGAGTTTTACTTGTTTCCAGGGTAGTTTTTGGTGCTGATTTCGATTTTAGCAGCCATTTGAATATTCACGAAGTAGTTCTAGTGCCTTCGTTCCATGTTACGAAGCTATCAGTAGTAGGTGACACTTCTATGGATGGCCGGCAGGACGCCTACTAATTGATCTAACCTGACCTGACCCGACCTGGCCTAAATGCATAAAGACATCGTCTGTGATCAAAAATAACATGAAATTCGTGATCAGCACCCCAAAATACCCCGTAACACCCTAACTTTGCGAAGTTTCAAGAGGTCTCGATTTCCCAACTTTAGTTGGGTCATTAAACTGACTTGGAAAGTCAGCTTCTGACCTTGGACTTTGAAATTGGATATATTCGGCCTAATTTCGTCATAGGCAGCACGCTTGACTTTTCCGCGAAGCTCTAGCTTGATCAGGGGCCAAACGGCTGAGCGGGGGTCCAATTGAACCCCCCTATACTATGTTGATTATGCACATTTACAGGTAAAATTCTCACCAGGACACACCAGCCAACATCTGTGCACAATCTGGCTACAATTCTACCTATGGTTTGCCCTCTACGAATAAATACGTGCTAGATCGGAAAAATCCCCACTGTGCAATGGTGAGGGTTATAAGACCATCAGGTACGGTTTAGGTCACTTTCTGGTGGAGCTCAGGTCAAAATCTGGTCAAAAAAGGTCAAATTTCAAAGTTGATAGTTTTGCATAAAATGTGCATTGATTCGATGCAGCTCGTTACGGCGAATCGAATGATGGTTTGTTTTGCGCTACGTGGTCTAAACTTGCTAAAAATTGAGTTTGAAGGCTTAAAGTCATCAATTTTAAACAGTTTTTCGCTATAACTTGGCCAAAAAAGAGGTATCGATCTCAAATGTGGTATGTGGATAGTAAACGGTAAGGACTATCACATATATTCGTTTTTCGAAATTAAAGGGGATATTTTTGCTATTATATTCAAAAGGCATCTTTATTTTTAGGGTTCAAAATTCGTAAAATTCTAAAATCCGACATGCTCAGTTTTATAGCCCTATTAATTCTACACCTTTTATGTTTGAAACATTTTTTCTGTATCTCTAAAGCTGTAGGCCTGACAGCTCTTCCCGTGAAACCTTTTTTTGGGTCGAAAATGGCAGAAATGACGTCACTCCGGCGTCATTATTGGCCAACCTATCAAAGCCTTTTGAAAAAAAATTTTTGGTCACAATGTGTAAAAGGTATTCCCGGGAGGGTTCTGAAAGTCTGGTGACGATCGGCTTAACGGTTCTGGAGATTTATCAAAAAAACTAAAGGGGGAGGGCAAAAATGCTCCCCCCACCGCCTGGAAGGTTAAGCATATTTGACTTTTTTCCATTTGATTTTTTTTACCTAGAACGGGTTTGACTTTTTGCTTTTGATTTTTTTCTGATCTGTTTTTTAACTTTTTGTCTTTTGACTTCTTACCGATTTGACTTTTTGCCATTTAACTTTTATCGCTTGGATTTTTTTTTGTCCTTTGGCTTTTGTGCAGTTGACTTTTGCCTTTTGACTTTTTGTCATGCAATCCGCGGCATACCCGGCGCCGGTCCGAGCTCTGCTGCGCGAAGAGGGAAGGGCACTTTGAGCACCTCTTATAGACAAACGAAGTGTCATAAATGACTTGCGCTCATGTGATGTCAAATATCCAATATTTCGCATTCTAACGGTGTGCTGTTTAATGTTTTTATGGTATTATAATTAAAATATATGTATGCATATGATGACGATGTACCTTTCATGGGGGCCAAATTGATGTCATTCTTTGCTGATCAGTGATCACCCTGTATCTTCATACCCACCAATAAAACGCAGCTAGGCCGCATTCAAAAGATATTAAACTTCGCCGCGCGTGTCATCTCTGAACGGAGGAAGTATGACCACATCAGTGATGTGTTACTGCAATACGAGTGGCTCTCAGCTGAGAACATGTACCTTTACCACGGACTGACATTTCTTAACAAGATTCGATGTACGTCGGAACCCGAGTTGCTATCTCATAGTCTCACCACCAGACACGACATTCATCGGATTCGGCGCACTACTCGGCATTCTGATCAGCTTGTGACACCGCGCATTTTATCTGAGTCGGGTAGGCGGAGGTTTTTGTACTCTTTTTGTGACTGCATTCAACAAACTACCATCTCCAATGCGTGATATGCAACCCACTGCTTTTAAAAGAGAGGCGTTCAAGTGGCTCACTTTGGAACAGAACAAATAGCGATTGTGACTAGTGATGCATGTGTCAGAGTGTGAGGTTCATGTTACATGTAGACATGTGTGACATCCATTGGCCGTCTATTGCATGCAATTGACCTGAGGCTAGGAATAGCCATGTGTCATGGCTTTGCCTCGTAATGATTAACAAATAAATAAAATAAATATCATATATTTATTTCAGTAGGTATTCTAATAAAAAATAATGCCTGATATAAAATATCAGGTATATAAGCAATTGTACATCCCAAACTGATAGCTTCATGGAAACACAATGAGCCTAATTTGACCAAATCTGCACTACATAAATCTGCACCTAATGTGCGCCAAATGTGCACCAGATATCCTTCGTGAAAACGGCTAGTTCCGTTCGTCAATCCCAGTTTGCGACCTCACTAACTTAAATGGTATGCAAAAGCAAAGACAAGTATTAGTGAAAAGTACTTTAGCTTGCCGGAATAATGCTGGGTTTATGTGAAGTGCGGTTTTATATCATCCAATTGCCGTCCGCGGTCATAAATGATCAAGAATAAGGAAAAATTGTAAAGCAGGATCAACCCGCATAGGATTGCGGCAGTAGGTTTTAATTTTGAACAAAGCTAGCGTAACCATACAGCTGCTCTCCAAAAAGCCAACACATTTCACGAGCAGCACGCCCCCCTCACTGATACGTCTTAACGCTGCTTACTGTCTGGTTTGGATGGTGTTGATAGTCGCACCAGACTGCCGTGCTCTCTCGGCATCCTCCGGTGAACCGGCAGGCCGGGATCCCACAGCTGTCAGTTGGTGCGTTAAGCGGCTGGACCACCGTCACTCCCGCCACCAGCAGGACACCCAGGAGCCACCAGCAGGACACCCAGCAAGCAGCACCCGGCAGCCACCACCCGGGCGGCGCCATCGCGGCCGGTCAGGGCAGGTGTGGGCGGCACTGTGGATAGGTCACATTGGGGGGAGAGACACTGGACGAGTAGGTACGCCGGGCAGGGAGACACTGGACGGGTACGCTGGGCGGAGAGACACTGGACGGGCCTGCCGGGCAGGGAGACACCGGACGGGCCTGTCGGGCGGCTGGAGCGCGAACTGGTGCGCTGGGTGCAGGAACTGATTGTGGGGTGGCGAGTCCCGGCGACTTCTGTATCAGCTGCCCGTTTCCTCTGAGGTCGCTGCTGTTTCCCTGCGATTTGACAGCGGTCACCCGGTGGTCGGCTGACTCAGATACACGACATCCGGTGCGAGGAGTTTCTGAGCTATCAAAAGGTCAGTTGAGCAGCACTTCCCGGATTTCCAGAAAAAAAGAACGTCTCCATGTGCATCTTTCTCTATAAGGCGTTCGTCTCGTTTAGATGGAACGAAATAACCATTCAGCTGTTCGAGTAGACACTGATCTTGCGACATACGAAATCTAATAAGTCACACAAAAAATCACAAATAAATTAGTTTGGTGCCTAGCTAATCAGAGAGGTAGGTAGTACTCGTATGTCAACGGACAGACGGTTTATCACTAATTGGCATTTGGATGTATCACGGTCACAGTAAACCCTGAACTTCACGTCTAGTCTACATAGCCAATCACCAACCATAGAATATTTTTGACCGGCGGCAGAGCTGCAGACCGCCGCGCCGGGGTCCGTCAGTGTCAGTTGATACGCTGGCCTGTGGTGGCGGGATGTTCCCGATTAGCCGCAATGTGCGGTAGACAGAGGGGACTGTCGCCGTCTGACTCACTTCACAACACAGTTGGTGGTCACAAGAAGCCTCCAACATGATAGTGTTGAACACAGGGCCTCATCCTGTTTGCAGACGCTGGTCTGAGGCACAAGTTAGGCAGCAAAGTGCTGCGTGGGTGAGGCGATATATCAGAACAGAAGGTGATAGGTATGGGACGGTCGTTGTTAGCTACCCATGCACAAGGCTGCAACGCACCCTGGGTAAACCAGAATAACAGGAGAAACCCCTAGACTCTAGAGCTTTCTGCTGTGTTCGCTTGGTGGGATTATTTCTCTTTATACTTGAATTGCATTGCACTATTTTAGTCTCCAAACCTGAATGCAGTTTTTCGTCAAAATCGAGCAATGCCGGGCCCTCGGCTAAGGCCGATAGCGCAATGCGTGCACAATGCTGCAACAGAAAAGGAAGACGGACCACAGAGCTGGCAAAATTCAGACCACGGGTCGCGTCGTGAAACTTCCGAGCTGTCAAGCAGCTGTCAGCCTGTCACGGCTCAGAGCGAGGCACCAGACGTAACTTGTGTGGTCCGCACTCCGTCCGTATTGCATCCCGACATCTATTGTCCTGTGATGACCCATCAAGTCAAAAGAAGGTATCTACTATCTACAACTACATATCAATCACTCAGTATTCGTACACCCAATTTACCCCCGATCTGGATAAACATCATCCCTCCGGTAACGTCATGCCACAACCCCAGCCCACCCTCTGACACGACATGAGGGCCAGCCAGGTGTGTGACGTTACACCTGGGACGATGACGTCATCGTCGGGCTCGGCAACAGTTGTATCGACCAGGCGTGGGAGGCAGCGGCGGCGGGCTGCGGGCGGGCTCAGACGAGCCGCCGGCCGGGCCCCGGCGGACGCGAGCATGGCCCTCCCTCGGCCTCCGCCGGCCCTTCTCATTAGTGCCGTCATCGCCGTCATCGCCGCCGCCGCCACCGCCGGTGACGCGACGTCATCAGGTGAGCTCGACTGCCGCCGACTGAGCCGACTGAGCCGGCTGAGTCGGACGGCACGCGGCCAGTCTCGTCGGCTACCATCTGGCGAGAAATACGCGCGGCACCGCCCACCACACATTGGAGAACAAAATTGCTGTCGCTATGTGATTTATCTGACTGACTTGTCTCTCAGTTTCCACTCGTGACTCGATGCCCAATATTGCTATTATTTTGATTACGATGTGCCCTCATCAGGGTTGTGCTTGACTGAGTCGAGTCAGAAATTTGACTCAACTCTGACTCAAATGAGTCAGGTTTGAGTCGAGTCGGATAAAATGTTGAGCTGATGAGTTGAGTCAGAGTTGAGTCGGACAAAAATTTTAAGGTGTTGAGTTGAGTCAGAGTTGAGTCAGTAAAATAACTTTTGAAATTGAGTTGAGTCAAAAACATTTAGGAACATGAGTCAGCTGACTCAACTTTCTAGAAACAATATATATAAGTTTTTCATTCTCCCCCCGCTTAACAACTAACTTAGGCCTAGCCCTGCTGCCGGATTTTTTTTCACCCCCCCCCCCCCGCTCAACAACTTTTTTATCTGAGTCAATTTTGAGTCAACACACTTGACTCAACAAAAAATTTGAGTCAAGTTTGAGTCAACTCATAATTTCATTGAGCCGCTTGAGTCATGAGTCGAGTCAAGGGAAAAAATCAGCTGCTTGTTTGAGTCAAAGTTGAGTCAGGGCTTTCTGAAGTTGAATGATGAGTTGAGTCGGCAACTTTTTTTTTACCCTGGCCCTCATGTTCTGACTTATTGCTATCGGGTTTTATTGCGAATAGCCTCGGCAAGGCTGACCATGCCGTAAAAAAACTGTAGACATTCAGCTCGGGCATGGCCAATAAAGGCACGAATATTACAGGTGTTCTATCCAACAGCAGGGATTACAGGTAGATAAATACTCTAAATTTCTAAGTGATTTGAACATTTGAGCACCTACCTAATGTAAATATTTGAACAATTAATTCGCAATGCTTATCCTCAAAAGAATAAAACCCAACACGTCAGAATAAAGGTGGGCACCATCAAAATGGCTACCACAAAACGCGATAATAGCTGACCGCATAATGGCGGCAACGCAACAAGCGGCAAGAGCCGAGCACTCATGGCCGAAACTATAGCAACAGGTCCATCCCTAGACAATAGAAGTCCCCTAGCGAGTCAAACAACAAGCGGCAAAAGCCGAGCGATAACCGAAACTATAGAGCCGTCTCTAAACAAGACATAGTTATGTAGACGTCCCTTAGCGTGTCCGTCGCCTCATTCCGCGTTACGAAAGTCACAGTTAAAAAAAACCTCAGTGAGGCAGACACTTTTGTTCTCACAGACCAAGTTCGATATTTGGCCCCGATTGACCTAATTTTGACCTGATCTTAAGACTTGACATGCAATTGCACATCGTCCAACTCCGATCAAAGTCACCACCCATTTCGTTACTGATGTTCTTATCGGACCTATATCATTGATCTGGAACTTCGTAAGTATATGACAGCTAATAAATAGGCATGAATCACTAGATAAGTGAAACTTTTTTAAATATAAAGGTACTGTATTATAGAAAGCCTTCGCAAACGCGTTTCGAATATATCATCTTCAGTGCTTGAACAGATCTTGTCTTTCAAGCCATACCATACAGACGCATTATAATGACTCTCAGTCAGCTTTTCACCAATTTGGCTCTAAAGTCAATAACAACGTACTTGTAGTTTTGACCCTTTGACCCAACCTTGATCTCGCCTTGACTTTCGATTGGTTCTATGTACTGTTCAGTGTGTCACCAGAAAACATTTTTTCGCTCGACATAAACTTCGTCAATGTTGTCAAACTGGATGTGCTAGCCCAAACTACGAGTTAGGTGTAGAGCCTCACGCGTCTTGTTGGCGTGATTTCCGAGTGATTGGTAGCGTAACATTCTATGTAGACTCTTATTCATTCTCGGCTGTCTCGAAAAATGCCTATCACCACGCAGAGACAAGAGCTCAGTACAAAATATTGATTACAATAGCTTCGGCGCACTAGCAGGATAGCAAACCAACTACGACGAGACTTATCGTCTCGGTGCACTCGCTGACACATTTATTTTTGACAAGAGTGCTTGCACAGTAATGCAAAGGACAGCAGCTGATGATGTGTAAATTAGAGCAAGCATATAGATGTCCAATGTCAAACGATGCTAAAGGGACACTCAAATGGTCTGCCAGTTGCCACTTTTGTTTAGTGCTAGTTCACATGCAGCGGTGACAGTCACGATCAGCCATGCATGCTTTTTAGCAGAATTGTAGCGTTATATAACTATATAAAGAAGCATGTAGGAATTGTTCTTATATTGACTTGCAAACCCCGCCTACGCGTATTTGGAAATTCCGACCTCGACGAGCATCTGTGCAGTGCAAATGGTAGCGGACAGCAGTAGTTTCTCCTACCAAAGTGGTGGTTTTCTACCACAGATGCTCGTCGAGGTTGGAATTTCCAAATACGCGCTACGCACTAATTTGTCTCGTATTTCTACTACAGTTTGTACTATAACAAAAAAAGAATTGTTGGTACTAACACGCGCGCGTATTTGGAAATTCCGACCTCGACGAGCATCTGTGCAGTGCAAATGGTAGCGGACAGCAGTAGTTTCTCCTACCAAAGTGGTGGTTTTCTACCACAGATGCTCGTCGAGGTTGGAATTTCCAAATACGCGCTACGCACTAATTTGTCTCGTATTTCTACTACAGTTTGTACTATAACAAAAAAAGAATTGTTGGTACTAACACGCGCACCGACGGGGGTCTGCGCCAACTTCGCACCGACGGGGGGGGGGGGGGGCGGATGACCGCCCCCCCCCCTGAGATCTCGAGAACGAAGCAAGATAGCGACAAGCGGTAAACGGCATCGGATACGCACGGTCAAGATCTACAATTTTCACAAAGGTCATTTTCAGGTCAGGTCAAAGATGACGTCACAGGGGTCGAAAAATTCAAAATGACGGCGCTAGATATGGAGAGTTTTTCTCGAGAACTTTCGAATTAGTCCAGATAGGAACAAACTAAGGGCATCATCGTGATCCTCTCGTCAATCCGCATCGAATGATATATGTGTTGACCTCGAAAGGTCAAGGTCAAAGGTTGACCTCAGGTCAAATGACCTCGAGGTCATCATGTATATCATTCGATGCGTCTTGACGAGCTGAACACAATGAGACCATCCACGCGGCTGTATCTTGTTCCTGTACGGAGTTATTGGCCAAAAACCTTTGGTGACCTTTGATGACGTCACATGACCTTACAGCTGCCCAACAGCAAAACAAACCTCAAGGTAGTGAAGGTTGGTCGTATATGAAGTCACGTATGGTATATGGGGCCATTTTGACCCGTTTTAGTGGTAAAAACAGGGAGTTGATTTTTCCCCCATTGACTTAAAATGGGGAGGTCGCTAAATTGACCTGACCTTAGGTCACCGATATCAAAATTCCGAGATATACAAATTGTGGCTACTAATGACCTAATAACATTCTGCGACTTTCAAAGGCCTCCGACATCTACTGTAGCTCTGGCACGGTGACAAAGTGGCAAAAAAGTGACTTGAGGTTGGGTCATTCAAAGTGACCTGGTGACCTCACCTTAAAAGGTAGGAGGTTCAAGCTTGCACACCATGTGTAAAATTGATGAGAGAATAGTCGTACCAAATTTCGCGGCGCGTAGCGCCGCGATTTTTCCGCTATTCGCTAAAAACCTCAGGGGGGGGGGGGGCGGATATCCATTATCCACCCCCCGTCGGTGCGCGTGCTAATACAGGGTGACACAAAAAAGCGGTCATCACCAAAATTCGAATAACTTCAGAAGTTTTATTCAGATCATCACCAAACTTCGGCCACTTTAGGTCAGTGTTCGCCATGGGCCGGGCCAGCCCAATGGGCCATGGGCTGGGCTGGGCTATGGGCTGGGCTGGGCCCTCAAATATGAAGGATCGATGGGCTGTGGATGGGCTGGGCCAAGAACTGTAAAGTGGAGTCAGGGGTTCGCAACAGAGACAAAAACTAGAACTACATAGCTTATAAGTGTGCAAGACTCAAAGATGAGTTAATACAGCACGCATCGGCAATGTGCATTGTGCATGCTGCTCGCAAAAGATTGTTTCTTTGCTAGCTTTGGATACCTGTGTGGTGTCAATAATTTTTAATCCATTCGTTTTTGACGGGCTGGGCCGGGCTGGGCTTTGACGCTTTTACCATGAATGGGCTCGGGCTGGGCCGGGCTGTGAACCCATGGGCCTTGGCTGGGCTGGACTGGGATTTTGCGGCCCGTGGCGAACACTGCTTTAGGTCACAGCTATGTAGCAGACATCCACCAAGTTTCAAGTCTTCACTACGAATACTTTTAGTACAGTGTGTGTTTTACGGACGCTCCACAATGTGCTCCAGGTGAGCGCCCCGGCGCTGCAGGGCGTAGACACACCTGCATCCGGCGGGCAAAGTTGCCGATAACCCGATAAGAATAACGTTTCAGGGGTAGCACACCCCCTGAGCACTGTCTCCAGAGGCCATTGCACTCTGTAAAGTGCACAGCCATCGGGTTATCGACAACTTTGCCCGCCGGATGCAAGTGTGTCTACGCCCTGCAGCGCCGTGGCGCTCACCTGGAGCACATTGTGGAGCGTCAGTAAAACACACACTGTACTAAAAGTATTCGATAGGCGTTATCACAAGTGTATTCGCGGCCATTGGGGCGACGTAAGAAAAGAAGAAAACAACTGGCCCCAAGAACTTTAAATTATCAGTTAGCATGCATCTTTTCCTTGATCTGTAGAGAATTTACCATTAATTGCTAGAGAAAATTGCATTTAAAATCTTCCATCTATGCTTCTTTCATCGTTTGCACAATATGTTTTTTTATTAAGCTAGAAATACTAATTAGAAATAGTTCCCGCATCATCAAGAACAATAGGGAAGGCTTGAAGTGAATACAATAATCTAAACAGTGTTGTAATCTATGTGAAGACACTTCTAAAATTGCCTGTAGAAATATTGAAGGCAAAAGTTCAACTTTTTCACAAGACGGATGTCTATAAACCTATTCAACGTGTGACAACTCAGCCGGTATTTCGTCGCCTACAGCCCAGCTTTCCCTAGTGACCGATAGAGGCGCTGCTATCGATGTCCGCCCGTGCCGCCTAACGTCGTAGTGAAGACTTGAAACTTGGTGGATGTATGCTACATAGGTGTGACCTTAAGTGTCCGAAGTTTGGTGATGATCTGAATAAAACTTCTTAAGTTATTCGAAATTTGGTGATGACCGTTTTTTTTGTGTCACCCTGTATTTAAACAACATATATATAATAGTGATACTAGAAGAGCGAAGCACATTAGTTATGTCGCATACATTAGGTCAAGTTTTTCATAATTTGCTTAACAGCTGGCTGTTCTAGGCTTATATCCCTGCATTCGCCTCGTCCCTTGTGATCAATTGTTGTTGTCTATCTGAGACCTGACAAGGGAAACCACATATGCGCGAGGGGCGGAACCCCATCAGGGTGGAACCACACATGCGGGCTAACATCCGGCTTGTTTACGCCGCCAGTGAGTGGTATGTGCGTGTATGCGTGTCTGTGTGTGCGCGTGCGTCACCTGTGCTATAAGGCGATGTAGGTATTTACTGACAGTCGATGACGGCCAACACCTGCTCTGGGGGGACTGGCTGATAACCACGGGATGTGCTCACGTGCGCGTGGTGTATCTGACAGGGCTGGGCCTATTGGTGCGTGTGAAAGCTGCACTTTCAGGATGGGGAGACGCGTCAACGTTGGATGATGTCGCTTGTTACCCTAACGTATACAAAACATCCAATGACGAGCATGTTTTTTTACAGATGTTCAACTTCTTCAAGCCATTCAGAGTGAAGATGGAGCAATCGACAGACTTATTCGTGATGTGCTCAAACTTCAGGAGGCAAAGGTTAGTAACGTTTACCGAATTACTGCAATGTAGTCCGCGACATTTGAGGAAGAAAGAGTGTGTTATATAGTCGTAGACAGAGAAAGAGGGAGGTATATGTGAAAAATATAAATATTTTGCAGATATAGATAGATATTAAATATATTTTGATATTTAAACAAACCGTGCTACTCTAACCAATCATAGCGATCGTTCAGCTGGTGAAGCTATATGACGAGCATTATATTTTTTCTGAGTTAGGGCAAGGTCACTTGACGTGACCTACATGTGGCTTTAGCGATCTGGGTCTGAAATTTTTACTTTATGTATCTTTTGGAGTACCTCGTTCACAGATGTCTTCGATAAGTCGCAGGGTGGTGTTCAACTCCCACCTGGCCCGCCGGCGCGGGTTGAAGCTGGCACCCCTTATCATTGCTAACAACGGCGTTGTAACGGGATGGGATAGTGCCATTTCAGGCTCTGTTAACCCTCGCCGGACCTATTGGTTTTCTACATACGCGCCGGCCGAGGGGGGGGGGGGCGGGTACGACCCCCCCCCCTCGCCGTTTCGCTCCTGGTGGAGCTAGCGCGTCGCGGAAAAAACGAGCGTGTGCGCCTTTACGAGACGCAGAGATTGGTACCCGATTTTAAGGTCCTAGGTCAACCGGTGACCTCTGAGGTCAGGTCAAGTGCCCCAGGGTACGGCTCAGTTTTTGGGTGAATAACTTCGCAAAAAACGGCCGCAGAGCCGCGATTTTGGCAGCATCGTGTTCGCCTCGCTCAGGCGCGTCGATTGATATACTTTTTGTTCGGGTCAGGTCAACTTAGGGTGTTGACCTCAGGTCAAGGTCAGGTCAGCACCCCCAGGTCACGAACTTGGTCGAAAGAGGTCATGTCGCATATCATTCGATTCGGCAGGTCTTCCTGAGTCCATTGGTGGCTTTCTCGACTCGCTAGCTCAATTGGGTCGGGAGTTATTGACGAAAAACTAATATGACCTTGATGACGTCATAAATGACGTCACGGAAGGTCAACATTGCAAAAGTGACGCATCTAACCTTGCAAGGAGTGCATCAAATCACGATTCTGTGTGCTTGAGATAGTAAGAGATCGTTCCCGGCGCCAGAATAGCAGTTTTCATTTTTCCCCATTGACTTATAATGGTGAGGTCACGAAAATGACCTGACCTCACATGACCTTTAGGAAAAATCCGAGATATACAAGTTGTGAGGCTCATAATGGATACTAGATCCTGCAAGTTTCATTTCCCTGTGACATCTCCTCTGGCAGTGAGGGCGTTGCGAAGTTGCGACATCTGAAGACCGTGCAGAGGTTCACTTATGACGTCATAGGTCAGTGACCTGACCTGACCCAAAAATGCGGTTGGTGTCAAAAGATGCGGCTTGGATCAAAGGTCAGGTATGCCAAGTTTCAGCTCTCTATCGCCAGCGTGTTCGGAGCTATCGCGAAAAAAACCCTATGGGGGGGGGCGGCACCCGCCCCCCCCCCCCCTCGGCCGGCGAGGGTTAACTCACGTTCGTCTGTATGCATTATTACCTGCTTACAGTGAATACTGAGTAACTAGAGTCAACACCTCGCCGGACCTATTGGTTTTCTACATACGCGCCGGCCGAGGAGGGGGGGGGGGGGTACGACCCCCTCGTCGTTTCACCCCTGGTGGAGCTAGCGCGTCGAGAAAAAAAACGAGCGTGTGCGTCGTTGCGAGACGCAGAGGTTGATACCCGATTTTAAGATCCTAGGTCAACCGGTGACCTCTGAGGTCAGGTCCAGTGCCCCAAGGTACGGTTCAGTTTTTGGTGAATAACTTCGCAAAAAAAAAAACAACGGCCGCAGAGCCGCGATTTTGGCAGCATCGTGTTCGCCCCGCTCAGGCGCGTCGAATGATATAATTTTGTTTGGGTCAGGTCAACTTGGGGTGTTGACCTCAGGTCAAGGTCAGGTCAGCACCCGCAGGTCACGAACTTGGTCGAAAGAGGTCATGTCGCATATCATTCGATTCGGCAGGTCTGCCTGAGTCCATTGGTGGCTTTCCCGACTCGCTAGTTCAATTTGATCGGGAGTTATTGACGAAAAACTAATATGACCTTGATGACGTCATAAATGACGTCACGTAAGGTCAACATTGCAAAAGTGATGCATCTAACCTTGCAAGGAGTGCATCAAATCACGATTCTGTGTGTTTGAGATAGTTAGGGATCGTTCCCGGCGCCAGAATAGCAGTTTTCATTTTTCCCCATTGACTTATAATGGTGAGGTCACGAAAATGACCTGACCTCATATGAGCTTTAGAAAAAATCCGACATATACAAGTTGTGAGACTCATAATGGATACTAGATCCTGCAAGTTTCATTTCCCTGTGACATCTCCTCTGGCAGTGAGGGCGTTGCGAAGTTGCGACATCTGAAGACCGTGCAGAGGTTCACTTATGACGTCATAGGTCAGTGACCTGACCTGACTAAAAAATGCAGTTGGTGTCAAAAGATGCGGCCTGAATCAAAGGTCAGGTATGCCAAGTTTCAGCTCTCTATCGCCAGCGTGTTCGGAACTATCGCGAAAAAAACCTATGAGGGCGGCACCCCTCCCCCGCCGGCGAGGGTTAACCCGCGCCCTGGTGGGGGGGGGGGGCTATTTTTTGCCCCCCCTCCAGACTTTTCGATATATCTCCAGAACCACTGCGCCGATCGTCACCAAACTTTCAGTACCCTCCCGGACATCAATTTTACACATTGTGACCAAAAATGTTTCCAAAGGCTATGATAGGTTGGCCGGAAATGACGTCAGAGTGACGTCATGTTCTGCCGTTTTCGACCCAAAAAAGGGTTTCGCGGGAAGAGCTGTCAGGCCTATAGCTTTGCAAATACAGAAAAATGATATAGACATAAAAGCTGTAGAATGAACAGGGCTACAAAACTGCTATTTCGAATTTTTGAAATTTTTGGATTTTGACCCCCAAAAATAAAAAAATAGATTTTTTGAATATAATAACCAAAAAATCCAAAGAGTTTTTTGAATTTCGAAAAAAAACCGGAATATATGTGATAGTCCCTACCGTCTTCCATCTACATACCAAATCTGAGATCGATACCTCTTTTTTTGGCCAAGTTATAGCGAAAAAACTGTTCAAAATTGATGACGTCAAATTTTCAAACTTAATTTTCAGCAATTCTAGACCTCGTAGCGCAAAACAAAGACCACCATTAGACTCCCCGTGACGAGCTGCATCGAATCAATACCCATTATATGCAAAAATATCAACTTTGAAATTTGACCTTTTTTGACCTGACCTTGACCTGACCTCCACCAGAAAGTGACCTAAACCGTACCTGATGGTCTTATAACCAACACCATTGAGTTGTAAATGAAAAACTGGCCATAAAACATGCATCGCACAACCTTAGTAAAGTTGGGTTCATGTGGTGACCCTCGGTGACCTTTGGTGACCTGACCTGTGACCTGACCTGGTATGACCAGTGACCTCTAACAGCAACATGTCTACTAGGCAACTGACGCCCTATCGCTGATTCCCGACAAAATGCGTTTTCCTCGGTGTTATAGCGCATTCCCTAGAAGACCCGTGAACGGTGAAACATTTCATCTTTGACCTGACCTGTGACGTCATCGGTGACCCCGAGGACAATAAAATTTGGTTTCCTTCGACAAATTTGACAGGCCTTTCGAACGCCGTTTGAATTTTGCGGATCCGTCCAGTAGTTTCGGAGATACGAGGGGGGGCAAAAAATAGCCCCCCCCCCACCAGGTCGCGTTATAAACAGACCCCACCAGGGCGTGGGTTAAATGGAGAGGTCACGAAAATGACCTGACCTTGACCTTTAGGAAAATCCGAAATATACAAATTGTGAGACTCGTAATGGATATTAGATCCTGTAAGTTTCATTTCCCTGTGAAAGCTCCTCTGGCAATGAGGGCGTTGCGAAGTTGCGACATCTGAAGACCGTGCAGAGGTTCACTTATGACGTCATAACTCATAGTTCAGTGACCTGACCTGACCCGAAAATGCGGTTGGTGTCAAAAGACCCGGCTTGAACCAAAGGTCAGGTATGTCAAGTTTCAGCTCTCTAACCCAGCGTGTTCGGAGCTATCGCGAAAAACCCTATGGGGGGGGGGGGGGGGGCTCGGCCGGCGAGGGTTAAACTGAATAACTGATATCCACACTGCACAGTGCAATTTGCAATTGGACTTGCAATGGCTAGGGCTTCGCGATACCGAGATACTAGGATACCAAGCAGTATACTACACAAAAGCTGGAGCCACTCTTGAGCTACACACAAATGTCAATTTCTTAAGTAACTGGTTAACCGGGTATGGTAGTTCAGAGCTGAGCTGTTACTCTAGTTTTTCTCCGTTTTTTTATGATTGGATATGTGGGGCAATAACTGGCGGTCTGCACTCTGCACCTAACGGTCACCTCGTCTACCATTGACGGAACCAATTACAAACTCCATTTGTCGCCATAAATGTACCCACTCGAGTGTCGCCCCAACGGCTCGTGTGTCGCTTGGTTCTGGTTATGTTCCTCGGCCGAGTAATTGGCTCATCTCCAATCTGGCCTTCCTGAAACAGCGCTGAAAAATAAACCTCTATTTTCTCATGCATGTTTCCGCTTACGTAAGGATGGTTCTAAACGACTAATCCAGGTCACAGAAAATGGCGTTCGTTAACCCGCGCCCTGGTGGGGTCTGTTTATAACGCGACCTGGTGGGGGGGGGCTATTTTTTGCCCCCCCCCCCCTCGTATCTCCGAAACTACTGGACGGATCCGCAAAATTCAAACGGCGTTCGAAAGGCCTGTCAAATTTGTCGAAGGAAACCAAATTTCATTGACCTCGGGGTCACCGATGACGTCACAGGTCAGGTCAAAGATGAAATGTTTCACCGTTCACGGGTCATCTAGGGAATGCGCTATAACACCGAAGAAAACGCATTTTGTCGAGAATCAGCGATAGGGCGTCAGTTGCCTAGTACATATATTGCTATAAGAGGTCACTGACATTACCAGGTCAGGTCACAGGTCAGGTCACCAAGGGTACCAGGTCAGGTCACATGAACCTAACTAGGTACTAAGGTTGTGCGATGCAGGTTTTATGGCCAATTTTTCATTTCCAACTCAATGGTGTTGGTTATAAGACGATCAGGTACGGCTTAGGCCACTTTCTGGTGGAGGTCAGGTCAAGGTCAGGTCAAAAAAGGTCAAATTTCAAAGTTGATATTTTTGCATAAAATGGGTATTGATTCGATGCAGCTCGTCACGGGGAGTCTAATGGTGGTCTTTGTTTTGCGCTACGAGGTCTAGAATTGCAAAAAATTGAGTTTGAAAATTTGACGTCATCAATTTTGAACAGTTTTTTCGCTGTAACTTGGCCAAAAAAGAGGTATCGATCTCAAATTTGGTATGTTGATAAAAGGCGGTAAGGACTATCACATATATTCCGGTTTTTTCGAAATTCAAAAAACTTTTTAGATTTTTCGGCTATTATAATCAAAAAATCTATTTTTTGATTTTTGGGGGTCAAAATCCAAAAATTTCAAAAATTCGAGACAGCAGTTTTGTAGCCCTGTCGATTCTACAGCTTTTATGTCTTTATCGTTTTTCTGTATTTGCAAAGCTATAGGCCTGACAGCTCTTCCCGCGAAACCCTTTTTTGGGTCGAAAACGGCAGAACATGACGTCACTCTGACGTCATTTCCGGCCAACCTATCATAGCCTTTGGATAAATTTTTGGTCACAATGTGTAAAATTGATGTCCGGGAGGGTACTGAAAGTTTGGTGACGATCGGCGCAGCGGTTCTGGAGATATATCGAAAAGTCTGGAGGGGGGGGGGGGGCAAAAAATAGCCCCCCCCCCACCAGGGCGCGGGTTAACTTACCATATGTGGAAGCTCTTGTTTAATGCTCATTTTTAATTTCCAAGATGAGAGTGATGGATTATTGAATTTAAATCAATGGCTCATGATAATGAATTAACTTTAAAAAATAACATCGCATTTTAGGGCGTAGCCCTTTAAGTAGGTATTTAAAATGTTATCGTGATTTATTCGTTTTTTTTCGGAATATATTAATTATGATGATGATTTAGTTTTGTTTAATTACGTTCGAAATTCAGTATCAGTGCATTTTAACAAAACGGTGACAAGTTGCGCAGATTCCTTTTTTAAATCGATTTAACGGAGTCGTGAACCTAATCTGCGCCCTGTAGGGGGATACCATTTCGGCCCCCTCCCCTTCCCTGTCAATATCTCCTATAGTACTGCAGCTATCACCACCAAATATTCAGGATCCCCCGGGCATTGATTTTACACCTTGTGTTTTTTTTAAGAGGCTATGATAGGCTGGCCACAAATGGCGTCAGAATGACGTCATGTTCTGCCATTTTGACCCCAAAAAGATTTCGCGGGAAAAGCTGTCACGCTTATAGCTTTGAAGATGGAAAAATGGTTCACGAATAAAAGGTGCAGAATATATAGGGCCACAACACTGTTGTTTCGAATGTTTGGAATTATTTATTTTGACCCCAAAAAATAAAAACAGTGTTTTGTGGGTGATAAGGCCCTCAAAATAAAGAAATATCAAATTTTGAAAGAAAAAAAAACGGATACGTGTAACTATTAACTCTCAAAGCCTTCCAACGACATACCAAATTTGATACCGATGCCTTCTTTTGTTAGCTAAGTTATGGCGAAAAAGCTATTATTATAAAAGTTAATGACGTGATATTTTTTACCTCAATTTTAGCCGTTCTTGACAACGTAGCTCAAAACTAAGACCAACATTGGATTTACCGTGACAAGCATGCATCAAATTAGATCTTATTATGCAAAAATATCGACTTCGAAAATTGACCTTTTTGACCTGACCTTGACCTGACCTTCACAAAAACATAACTTAAAGCGAAGGGGCAGGTAAACGATGCTATTTCAATCTATTTCAAATGCAATGAAAGCATATCAAATAACGGTAAGCTATACGTTTATCAGCCCTGTCGCCTCTCCTATATGCTGAACTTAGATTACTTACATGACGATCCGACACCCAGCCGCCTCTCCCACCCAGGAGCTTTCAGAGTTGAGCCGGCTACGGGCGCCGCTTCTGGCCCCGAGCCCGGTGACCCGGGGTCGCGGACCGGACTTGGAGCGGACGGACCACCCGGTACGCCAGTTCGCTGACTACCCCAGTGACCCGGAATACAGCCAGCCTCGTCAGCACACCGCCGCAGCCACGGATAAACGGCGAGGGGAGCAGCCGACGGTCGGTGGACAACACAAATCTACAGGTTAGTCAGTGATTGACACAATCCCACAGGTAAGTCAGCGGCCTATACACAAAGCCAAACGCTTGTCAGTGGTCTACCCAAACCCAAAAGTAAATTAATCTTGGCTTAGTCAGCGGGTGACACAATCCCACCGGGTAAGCCAGCGGTCAACACGACAAAAGTACAGATAAGTCAGCGGACTTTAATACAAACCCACAGGTAAGTCAATGGTTGGCGCAATCCCACAGGCAAGTCAGCAATTAACACGACCTCAGAGCGACACCGACATGACCCCACATCAGCCGACCCTAACCCAAAGGTAAGTCAACGCTTTGACACGACCCCAAAGGGCTGACACGACCCAACAACCGGCACAGGATAGTCAGCGGTCGACATGACCCCACAGCGGCCGACATATAACCCCACAGGCTGCATAGACAGGACACGACCCCCACAACTCACAGGATAGTCTAGTCAGCGGCCGACATGGCCCTACAGGCTAGTCAACGGCCGACACTACCCACAATTTATATCGATTGATTGTCTCAACCCTGCAGAAGTTAGAATCAACCAAAAGCTGCGCCACTCTAAGGCTGAAACAGACTCTTTCCGCGTTCAGGAAATCGCATGCGAGAGCCTATTCAAATACATTATAATTCTCCCCGCATCAATCGCATCCGGGAGCTGCGTGCGATTGATGCGAGCGTGCTTCCATGTATTTGAATAGGCTCTCGCATGCGATTTCCTGACTGCGGAAAGAGTCTGTTTCAGGCTTTATTCTGCAGATACTTCTAGTGGGTGGAAAAGAATAGTGTCAGTATTTTGACATAGGTATTCAAGCCACCGTGGCTATACGATTTGCGGTCTCATGAACCATGGTGAGCGCACTGGACCTCAACGAGCGGCATCAAAATAACCTTCCTATTCCTCCGCGGCCCTGATGAATGGCCTTGACCCGTCGGTGTGTCAGCGATCCGCCATCCCTCACCCTGATCTGCGTCGTATAGGATCACTTTTCCAGCTTTGTGATATGATTCATTATCCATATGACTCGATAAATTTAGTGAACGATTACTTGACAGACGGACCTAAATTAGATTTAGGACGAGAAGGAAATGGCGGTGCAGATAGGTTCAGATTTCAGACGATTTATTGCCAATAAGTCCAGCCATTCCAATAAGTCCGCGGCAGGTCGCGGTGTCCATTCCATAGGTTCTTCGAGTGGAGTGGCGCGGCAAGAGATTGAAGAGGAGACTGGATGGAATGTTTACGCTTATACCCGGCAGTTGCTGGGGTAGTTCGCCACCTGCCGTTTGCAGGAGGGAGGGGGGGGGGCGTTAAACGCCCCTAGCCAATAACTCGAAAATCAATAAGGGTCAAGGTCAGGTCAAACACCTAAAATCGGGCTTTCAGAAGCATGGATTCTGGAACCTCTCATTGGGCGTCTCTCGTCATAAACTCTGTCAAGTACACAATCCTTCATATAAGTGCTACACGAGTGTCAGATTCATGTAGGGGTCAGCCAAGCATAGGTCAGGGTCAAGGTCAGGTCACTGGTCAGTCAGGTAAACACATATCCTCGAAAATCTAAACTGGTTTTCGCAGCCTATGGCACATGTTTTACGGGCACTTTAGGGCGTAGAGAACGATGGTGACACATACGAGTAGGTACGTGCTTGGTAGAAAAAATCAATTTAAGAAATGCATGCATCAAGGTCGTGAAGTAGCCACGAGAAATTGCCAAGATTCAGTCCATGATGTTTTTCTCACAGACAATGACAATAGGTACAAAAACAATTTGTCTGTGAGAAAAACGAAATGTCTGACTCTTCTAATCAGTCCATGATGTTGGAAAATGCTCCATGACAATCAAAAAGCGAAGATAGCCATATAATGGTTTATGGTATTGGCAGTCTAATGGCGTTTACGGCATGTCTGAAGTCTATTATTGTGATTTTCCATATATAATTTTTTGAACCTATGCCGTTTTTGGTCGAAAACTCAAAAATCATGACGTCACTAAAGCCTCGATAACTCAAAAAATTTCTGACCGATTTTTTGAAAATTCGTCACAATAAAGTTGCATTTATTTCCTACATTTACCCAAAATATGGCGCGCTTAGGCGTGCCGTTTTTTAGCTATACCTAGGCGAGAAAGTGGGGGCTCTTATCCCCGCCAGAAATGTGCGGGTTATGCCAAGTTATGCTATCACATTATGTGCCACAAGGTTTCGTTACTGGTTTGTACTGTATTTTGCAAACATTGTTTGCAAACATGGCAACAACAGCAGAAGCATGACATGGAGAAGCAAATAGAGTGATGGATAAATTTACTCCGTAAATTACTTGTTAACCCTCGCATATATAGGGGGGGGGGCGGATAGACCCCCTCGGTTTTTCGCAAGTAACTCACGCAAAAAGCGGACGATCGCGACAACAATTATAGTACCTCGAGTTGATCAATTATACACCGACTCTGAAAATTTCTTGACCCTGACCCAAATGACCTTTGACCTGTGACCTATTTCTCGAGACCATGTTTGCCTGGAATCGCAATTCACCGTATGTACTAGGTCACATTATCCGCGCGTTTCCAGTCTTTTTGTGATTGTTAACGTCCAACCACGTGAAATGATGATCGTCTCAGGCATAGTACGGTGGGTGTCAAGGACACCTGAAGGTCAGGTCAGGTCATAGACCTTTCATGACCTTGATTCATTTTTTCGAGTCTTACATGTTTCTAGGGTAGTGTTATGGGCTGATTTCGAATTTAGAATACATTTGAACAGCTTGCGAAGTAGTTTTAGTGCCTTCGTAACATGTTACGACGCCGTCAGTGGTAGTTGACACCTACTATGGATAGCCGGCAGAACAGCTACTGGTTGACCTGACCTGACCTGACCCGACGTGGCCTAAATGCATGAAGGCACCACCTGCGATCAAAACTGACATGAAATTCGTGATCAGCACCCCGAAAGCCCATAACAGTTTCACTTTACGAACTTCTAGCAGGTCCCAATTTTCCCGACTTATGGGCCCTTGACCTGACCTGGAAGGTCAACCAATGACCTAGGACCTTAAAATTGGGCATCATCGGCTTCCTCTCGTCACGGGCAACACGCTCGTTGTTTTCCGCGAAGCTTTAACTCGATCAGGGGCCGAACACTGAACAGCAACTGGCAAGGGGGTCCAACCGACCCATCACACTTTAAACGCTGGAAAACACCGCACACATGCGAGAGTTAAACCTATACTTTGGTACATACTGTGACCCGGTGCCAAGCCCATAATGGCTCCACAAAACTTACGGTTGGCTTAACTTTTCTAAGCCATCATATTGGAGCGTGCCTTTTTCATATTCAGGTCAGAAACTATGCAGAAATTGCAGAAAATACGGACGGTAAAACAGACTGAAGCAACTGTGCAGTGTGACCACCAAAGTTTAACTGCTGTGTTTTAAATGTCAGGCTGCTCTGATTGCTATTTGCGAAACATTGTACTTACACCGTACAGTGTATATGTGCGTTTACAATGCTAATTGCCAAGGCATCTTTGGATGCTTTCCACCAGATCGGGAGACTCGGAATGCGAGCCAGAATAAGAAAAGTTGGGACTCAATACCGTCCATTTCCTTAGCAAGGTTCGCTTGCATGTTCATGTGAAGTTGAATTTTATAGGCCCACAATCGCATCCACTGTCCTGTACGATTCGTTCATTTTAGTTCTCATATGTAGGGCGTGCTCATCGCCTTCCACATTCGCCTTTCTTGTGCCCCTGCACGTTGGACAGTCGTCGGTAAGTTCTTGGTGAAGCCCACGTTACTTTTGTGGTGAGCTTCCCACATGGTGACACCGAAGTCCAGCGGTTTGGTGATCTTTCTATTCGCAATGTTTGTAATGCCTTAGACATGACATCTCTTTAGACCAGGTCCCTGCAATGGTCTTTCATAGTAAGCCTGAAGGGACTTGCATGTCAAAAGGTTAAAAACTCTACTGTACAAACGTATTACATATTTTACAGATGTAAAAAAAACGTTTTAAAAACGTTTTACAGGACGTACTGTGAAAGGTAAAACTGTATATCCAATTTCATCGACAATATCCCATCCAATCAATAGCAAGCAGCGCGTCTGAACGTCTCGAGCCTCGCGCCTGACACCCGCCTTTGTCATGACCGGCGAACAGCTCACTAATGCTCCCCTCCTCCCATACCGCTCCTATTGAGGTTCGTATTGATGTGCGTCTGCTGAGGACATATGATATGCGATGGGAGATGCAGTGATGGGAGATGAGAATGAGTGCAGGCTGCGTGAACAACGCGCGGCAGGTACATAAGTGTGTACGAATATAGCGTGAGTAGAGATGGACTAGTGAGCGCGGAAAGTAGCGTAGCCGCCGTGGCAGTTTTTCACATTTGTGAAAAGGCGTCCTTTTGTGCTGTAGGATTTTCCTGGCGTATTTTGGAAGACGCGGTCCATTTGATAGAGCCCCCCAAGTACGGAGAACAATTCTCTGACCAGACACATCCTGCATTCAAGTGGAGCACTCGATTCGAATATTGCATGGGCATTTCTGGGGTCCCGTCAACATAACTCAGAGGGATTCCGCTCGTGACTGAAGCGCCTCCCGGGACCCATCGTTTCTAATAGCATGGGATGAAAATCACTACTTACCACTTCTACCACTATACCTCTGCTCATTGATTGGCCACACCACTCACTGTTAGACACACTAATATTTTACCACAGGTAGGAAATAATCGTAATAAGACCGTTTTATGTAAACAAACAGTTAACCTATAGAAGCTCCAACAATGCGCGTTTGTGCGGTGCTGCTGCCTTTGCAGCACTGCAGATCGGTCAGATCCAACAGCAATCAAATGTTCAATTCACTCAGTGTTCAGTGCTCACATATTCGTCGAGTCAATCCTGACAAGTTTTTATAATTGCTAATAGAAAATCGCATTATGTCCGACGTTTTCGACAAGCTTTGCGATAAAACTTCGTTTTACTTTTTCAGGACAGCTGGAGATTGCAAGTCCCATCCCCAGTTCAAGCGATTTCTATAGCAGCCTTGGAAAGCCAAATCCCGATTCGGTATCAGATACATTGGCCACTGGTGACGTCAAAGACAAGCGACCAATGGCAGAGGCCCATTTGGCGGGGCGACCAGCAGCACTACGAGGATCTCACTCCGAGCCAGATAAAAACGCCGACGTTTACTTTATCGGTAAGAACAGCTGTTCAAAGTACCTATTATAGAGAATTGAAATTGCCCTAAAAACTTTCCCAAAATGGACAAAACATAGGTATTCCACACTAAAAAAGAAAAGCACAGAAAAGTGAGCTTTATATAACTAAAAGAGTAGCTTTATACAATTTGTTTATTGTTCAGACCGCAATGACGTTTCACTGATGGAACTAATGCTATTACAAATTCGCTCGAACAGAATTAAAAATATCGGCCAAGAAATTGGAAACAGCGTAACTATTTCATAAGGTAAATGAAGTTATACATTACAAGAAAGATGCGTTTATCAGTCGCGTAAAAAATATTTCCTAACGACACCAGGATTGATCGGTGTTCCCAGCTGACAGAACCCTATAACGTTTTCCGTTTGCAGTTGCTGTTGTCGGCATCTGCACGGGCACTGTCTGTGTCTCGGTCCTAGGCGGCATCTGCTACCGTTAGTAAGTCGACACATTCATCAACATCCTGCCTTTGCAGCAACTTCATGCGTCTAAAAAAAAATCATAATGCAGCAGAAGGCCCGTTTATAAAGACTGCATTTTTAGCAACACCGAAGGCTGTTTGAATTCAGCTCAACCAACCTGACATCAAGTAACATCTTTGCGAAACGAAGCTCCTCTCCGATGCATATCGGTTCTAAAACTGTGTTATGAGGTTATCTATAATTGCCTATAATGATTATATTTCTATATGTCTTTACATAATCAGGTTCTAAATCTATCGTCTCCCCATTGCAGGCTGCAGCCTTAATTTTTTTTTTACAACACTGCCCTTGGAACACCCCAGTAGCCGCTGCTGTCCCCTGAGAATATCTACAATCATATCTCATAGGTCCCAGGCGTCTGACTTTCCGCCGTACGTGCCGTGCAGTCTGCAGCGGCGCCGTCGGCACAGCTCGACCGAGTCCGGACCGCCGTCCTACGGAGTGACCGGCCCACACTCGGGGCTCAGTCCGGCCTCGGCCGACAGGCGTCTGGCCCAGTCGGCGCAGCTCTACCACTACCAGCACCAGAAACAGCACATGATGGCCATCCAGGAGGGGTCAGTGGCGTCCGCCGGCAATAACCATCAGTCAGCCGACGGAACCTCGACTTTATTATGATCTGAATATTAAAAAGAAAGTTGGCTTGGAATATGCAGAAAGGAAAACAAATAAATTGAAGGAAATGTGTTGCACACTGAAAACAATTTAACCCAAGGCCGGCGAGTAAACCGGTGTTTCGCGGGTACCCCTATCCGCAACCATTTTTAACCACCCTCCCAAGAGTACAGTAAGGTCCGATTGCAGTGTAGTCGTCCCTGCTCTCAGCGGACATGTTCGCTGACAGCGGTTATATCCGCTCAGAGCAAGTACGACTACACCGCAATGGGACCTAGCCCTACTCCTGGGAGGGTGGTTAAAAATGGTTGCGGATAGGGGTACCCGTGAAACACCGGTTTACTCGCCGGCCTTGGGTTAAATTGTTTTCAGTGCAGGAAATAGGAATCATTATAATTATTTCCCTTTTGGTCGTTCAATTTGACAAAAGAGAAGCCACAAGCATGCACTTCCAATAACACTGTGATGGAATGATAATGGAACCGTTGAGAATTGCCTTCACTGGGCTCAGCAGTGGGTGTCATAATAAATTTCGGGACCAGTTGTGTTGCTTCAAGCTAGTACAGGAATATACCGGGCAATTCATTATTAACGGTTTGATACCGATGTCTCAACTTTCCCTTCCCGTTCACCTTTTCGAATTTCGATGTCTTACTCGCCACGACCTTACCGCGTGGTCGTGAATAAAAGACCACTGTTTCGCCACGAACCGCTGCCATTGGACTCACTCTGCAGTGACATCATGTGGGTGCCAGCTGACCTTTCAGCTCCGGTCGTCTTGCTTCAAACCCAACCCAGGCCGGCTGGTAACCTAATCCTGCCGCGCCTGTTCGGTAACTAACTCTGTTGTCCGCTCCGTAAAGCAAAAGCCATCTGTAGTCAGGTCGGTAATCTATACCCACTTTTCTGTGGGCGGTCCTTGGTAGTCCTGGCACCTAACCCCTGACATAATATGCTTTCTGGTTGCTAGCTCTAGCCTATGCTCTAGCCATATAATTACGTTCGGTCGGGCTGAAACCTAGCCATCCAATTACAGATGGGTTGGTAAACTAGCCAACAAAATACGCTTTGGTGGGTAATCTAACCGCCAAATTGTTATCCGGCCGGTAACCAAATATTCCAACTGTGCCACGGTTGCTAACGGCTGACGAATCTTACAACTGTGGTCCGGTTAGATGCCTAACCGCTCAACTATGGTCTATTTATCTATTTATAGCTATAGTTATAGCTGTAGTCCGTATACAAACTTGTGTACGGACTACACAAGTGTGATCCGGTTAGATGCCTAGCCGCTCAACTGTGGTCCAGCTATAGCTACACCTATCTGCACAAATGTGGTCCGTTTAGTTTCCTAGCCGCTCAACTGTGGTCCGATGAATAGCTACCTAAGCGTTCAACTGTGGTCCGGTTAGTTACATAACCGCCCAACTGGGATCCATCTTAGCCTAACCGCCCAACTGCTGTGCTGTCGACTATATGCCTAACCGTCTAGTTAGCTCCCGTGAGGCCGGCACGTGTCTGACGGTGAACCGTTGAATCGTTACAGGAAGGCGCTGGGACGCTGCAGCTCGCCCTCTGACGAGAATTCGGACCCGGAGGATGACGAGAGCGAGCACACCGTGTACGAGTGTCCGGGACTGGCGCCGGTGAGGGCAGCCACCGGCAGACACTGCAGCAAACATACCACATACCTACCGCTAACAGTACAGTCAGCGGTACAGCAAACAGCCAAACACAGTACACATCAGACGCCGCACGCACTGCCCGCTGCCATACCTTTATTATATCATACCTATACCTAAAGGTATTGTTTCTGTGCATAAAGATCAGTGGTGGATCCAGGGGGGGGGGGGGGCAAAATGGACATTTGCCCCTCCCAAACGGCATAATTTTAAATTACGCCTATGGACGAGGCATGGAAAGAATCGATAAATTGCTATGGTTTGCCCAACCCCCCCCCCGCCCAAAACTCCGAGCTGGATCCGCCACTGATAAAGATAAAGTAGTTTTTGATCTTGCTAGTGTTTTCTGCTGACACATATGCATCATCTTTCAGAGTGGTGAAATGGAGGTGAAAAATCCGCTGTTCAGCGAAGACCCAACCCCATGTCAGAGCATGGAAGTCAACGAGGACCTGTGAATAATCCAGGCACTGGATTCCACGGCATCCATGGTGGCCGCTGGTGAAACTACCAGTTTGAGTCACCGCTGCCAGGTGTCGCTAGTCGAGCTTTCGCTTTAGCCTATGTGTCAAACTGTACGATCCCAGCCGCTAAGAGGGCATTGATTGAGGAGTAGTTATGTCCACCTATCCGTGCTTCTATCCTCAGGATACTGAAATCCTTCTCCTCCACGCCGCAACCCCCCTCCGGGCTGGACAGGCAACTTTATCTCATGCGGGCTGCTCCCTTGGAGCGGCACCGTTGCTCCTGAGGGAGCGCACCCCGTAGCCGGGTGCAGTGAGTGCCTTGGGGCTGGGTGGCCTGTCCTCTGGACGGGCTCAGCCCCGGCGACTCACTAGGGTGCCTGCCCAGACCAATGTCTCCCCCTAATTCCTATCATCCTTCCGGCTCTGCAATGGTCTTGTCGACCGAAAGGGCCTAACCCAACAAAACAAAAGAGTAGTTATGTAAGAGTGAAAACGTTTGTAGTTTTTCATTGATCATGATCTTATTCTTACGTTGGCAAAGCTATCGAGGTAAGACAATGACCGGCGGTCGTTCCAGTTCCAGTCCAGAAAGGCCCGTCTGGAGTGCAGTTTGGAAATACGCCCTTCCGGGCTTCGCCAACTGTTTGTTCTTCCATCAGTGACTTGTGGAGGATAGGTTAGGTTTTGGTCACCCGTTAGATCAGTTATCCTCACCCGTGGTGTTTCTCCCCCTTTCAGACCCTACTGAGTACTGGGGCCGCCAATGAATGTGACACAATCTTCACGCACAGCGCTAACAGATAGACCGATCGCCGAGCTGGGTCTGCATTGTAGTTAGCCATAGCTCTGCTAGGTGCCTCTGAATATCCTTCTGTATGGTGCATAATTGCATATCCCGTAAGCCAGGGACAGTATAGTTTCGGAACCTCAGTCCCTTCATATGTTCCGTCACCTGCGCCGTATAACTGGTATATACATACTATGCGCCGCTCGGAACTACCTAAAATCAATGTGAAATGTGCTATTTAGAAATGTGTGTAGTGCCCACTGCCCGGGGTAGGTAGGTATAGGAGGCTCAGAGCTCAGCAGTGTACCTACAGGTAGGTAGGTATCGTATATTACCTACTATTCAAGCATAATTGTTATAAAATGATAACTTATTTTGAAGGACGTTTAATGTGGCTGGATTATGCTACGGTGTAAAAATGTAATAAAATGTTTGTGTTTAATTTATAATTGTTGAAAGGTATCGGAGAGAGAGAGAGAGAGAGAGAGAGAGAGAGAGAGAGAGAGAGAGAGAGAGAGAGAGAGAGAGAGAGAGAGCGAGAGCGAGAGCGAGAGCGAGAGAGAGAGAGAGAGAGAGAGAGAGAGAGAGAGAGAGAGAGAGAGAGAGAGAGAGAAAGAGAGAAAGAGAGAAAGAGAGAAAGAGAGAGAGAGAGAGAGAGAGAGAGAGAAAGAGAGAAAGAGAGAGAGAGAGAAAGAGAGAAAGAGAGAGAGAGAGAGAGAGAGAGAGAGAGAGAGAGAGAGAGAGGGGGACGGAACTCTGTAGATTTTTGTGCACTGCTTGTTCAAAGTCTCACATAAGAATGATAAGCAAGTAACACGCCTTTAGGGGTGACAAAAGAGCCCGCACCATAGCGCTACACGTGTGGAAGTGCGAGGGGATACCTATTCCCAACTGACGTGTGCATGGCACCCTATTAACCGGCTTCTAGCAATGTACCAAATTTGAGCGAATCAGCCCAGCTGTTCTCGAGATCTGAAAGCGACCTCTGCAGTCTGCACAGTCCGCATCCGCCGGTATAAAAGGTGCACAGTTAATTATTTTATATTATTTTAGCCCCATTAATGTCCGGATGCTATCGAAGTGCACCAGGAAAAGGTGCCACATGCCACTTGCCAGTCACCCGTGCTTCTTGTGAGGGTTATAAGCAATGATACATCAGCTCAGCTATAGGTACTTACATGAAGTTGGCAGCGGAAAATCGAGCTCAATGAATGTTTGTCAGTCCAATAATCACCTCTTTCACTCATTGCTTGCGCGGTTAAGTGGAAATATACTCACTTGAAGTACCAGCCAAGTGATGCAACACCGCGACAACAGGAATAATAAAAACACATGTGCAGTCTCAGCTCCCAGTGACAAGTGCGAGCCCACGATGCAACTGAGGGCATTCAGCAATGCTAGCAAAATGAATCTCGTCGCCGTCGAATCAAAAATAGCCAAAAATAGAACCAACGGAAAACGCAATGTTCAAGAAGATAAATAAAGGAGGATATTAAGCGAATACAAATCAGCACATGATGGTTTCCTGCACAGACTAGACTTCTTCACGCACTAATTTAGGAAAATACCGGACAACGGAATGTGATGTATAGACCTCGGACATAGAAGTTTTATTTCGCTTACACTCACTTCCCTATTATTTCTCTCGCAACAAGATATTAGCCGTTTAAACGACGGGCTATCCAGCAAATGCACCTGATTTGACCAAATCTGCACCTAATTTCTTTTACAGCAAATATCTTCATTTTTTATGAATTTATTTCAGTGTTTTAATCGATGATGCTCTCTAATAATATGACAAAGCAGGCATAAAAGAAATTAGTGCAATCCTAGCTGATAGCTACTAAGAGACACACTGAACCTAATTTGACCAAATCTGCACCTAATCTGTACCAGATGTGCACTAAATGTGTACCAGATGGCCGTCGTGAAAACGGTTAATACATCAAATACGCATAAATGGGCTACGTTCCCGATGTTGCAAGACGTGCCACTATGCACCGATGAATCATTTTTACCCTACCACCAGAGCTTACAGGTGTTAAATGTGATGCAAATCAAGCCAAAAGGATTGTAAATGACCCCCAAAAGCTCTCTCATAAGTGCCACGAAATCTCTGAACTTCAGTGGAGGGTCACTCTCCTGGGGCCGTCGGTTCCACCGTCGCTGTCCAGCCGCGCTAGGCAGCCACGCTCAGCTCAGCGTCGATCGTGTCTCGGATCCAGTCGGAGAACATGGCCACGTTAGTGTAGGTGGCCACCCGGTCACAGTCGTTGAACTGGCGCACCCAGGCGCGCAGGCCAGCCAGCACCCAGCGCGAGCGGTCCTCGCGCAGCCGACACACCAGCGGAGACCCGCCGTCCGCCCAGCAGCCGGTCTCGGCCGAGGCGCACGCGAAGCCGGCGTGAAGAGTGTGCAGCGGCCCGAGCCTGTCCAGCTCGCGCATCCGCGTCTGGCACGCGTCGCGGCCCAGAAAGCGGACCGTCTCGCGCAGCGGTACCGGGGTGCTGTCGATCGTGGTGTCCACCCAGCCGTGCAGCACACACTCTGTGTGCTCCCAGTCGGCGGTCAGGTCAGCCGGTGACTCGGTGTCGCGGCGCCACTGCGGCAGGCAGACCACGTTCACGTCCTCACTCAGCCGCGCCGGGTGCTCCAGCACCAGCAACCCCACGTCGTTGAGGCCGGCGCTGTACTCGGGGTGGTAGACGGCCCGTCGGATGTTGATGTCCAGCGGCGGCCGCCCGGCGTCCACGTCGCTCAGAATGTTGTGCTCGCCCAGACGCACGTGCATGCGCTGGTCGGCGTTGGTGGCCGCCTCGTGGCAGGCGGCCGACACCAGCACGGCCTGCTGGTGTACCAGCACGCCGGTGCAGAGGGGCTGCGGCGAGTCGGCGCGGGACGGCGGTGCGCCGCGCACCGACACCAGCCACGGAAACTCACCGGTCTGCGCCGTGCGGTTGCGCCTCGTCGGGTTGCTGATCAGATCGACGGACTCCACAAAGCGCGTGCACGTGCCACGCTCGTGGCGCACCCCGCACGTGCGTGCGTCCGGCGGCACGATGACCGTGGTGAGCAGCTCCGACAGGGTGAGCAGAACGTGCAGCTGCGGGCCGGCCAGCGCCGAGAGAGACATCGCTCCTTCACCAACCACCGGGGGTCAGGCTGCGGGGGACGACTCAGGTCACAGGGAGCAGGCTTATCATTTATTTTTCTACTGACTAGTGACTACCGATGAGCATGTTTAAGAAAAAATGAGAATAAGCAACGACAAATATCTACGTTGGTATTTAGGTCATTAGTAGGTAAGTCGGATGAGCATACATATCAAAAAAGCATATTCGTCTTATACCGAAGGATGGGGAGAGAGCGTTTCGTAAGCTGCTGAATAATATAGTGAATCTAATATCTGATAATCTCTAAATAATGTCATCAACAATTTAAAATAATCTAATAAATCACATGCCAGGCGATCTGAGCGACGAAGCTATCCATGTGATCTAAGAGAATCTTAAAAAATTTAATGTTAGGGTTTGTGATCACTATTCATTAGATTCCGAGAAGAATGCAATAAATCAATACGCACAGCAAAATTCGCGTGTCTCAAAAAAAGAAATGCATATGAAATACGGATGAATGATCCGATAGGAATCCAGGCCAGGAAGAGAGGGACGAGATCCAAAATTCATGTTATCATACCCATGCATATTGCACACACTCTTGCATGCTTATGACTTACCTCTCGCGGTGGTACTTACAAAAAAGGCGGTCCGAAACTGTTATCCAAGTCTACGCACGCTCCGATCAACGGCTGGTACGACACTGACCTGTCCTGTGCTCTGGCGAAAAACTGGTTTCTGCGGTATTAAAAACTGTCACTGCTGCAGCGAGTCCTCTGTACGATCAGCTGAACGAAACCCCGGGACTTCTGAGGCGGAGGTCACGTGCCGATGGGCGCTGCGCCACCGTTGGCTGAGGCACTGACTCATCCCACCTCTCTCAAGGTGAACGGGATGCTGACGACAGCCATACCAGCTTTAGGTTGGCTATTATCACGTATGCCCGGTTGGACTTGTATTTATAATGTTTTTGACAATGTTGCAAGATTGGATGAATGCAGGCAGAGCTGACATTTACCGCGGTCTAGTATATCTTTTACGTCATGGACGTTTCTCATCCAAAAACATTTACAATAACAGCATATGATACACGTAATAAGGTAATATACTTTTAAGTTTTTTTTGTGATGCATTGCTAATAAAGGTACACATTCGTTATTGGAGTGGTATGATTTAGGATTCCAATATATGATTACATTCATCATGAGCCACTCATATTCAAATGCAAGGGGGCCATATTTTGCATGAAGACAGCCCGTGCTGAAGCTGTGACGGTGTCCCTTATCCATTGGGCATACGTGGATAAAGCACGGGACTGGGGAACCGGCATGCACAGATGGTTATCACCGGTCAACCGCAGCCGCTGGCGCCGACATTGTAATGCATACAGTAGACCCACACCGACGTTAATTGCAATGCAATTTAACTGGTCATGTCTCAGTCGTTGAATAGAAGTTTCAGCCCTAAGCCTCGGTTGATGAGCATGCGGAGTAAGTGGGGGTTCCCCCGCCCCTTGTCACCGAGACCGGTTGTCTTCTTCGAACTGGCGGCTGGCGAATCCAAATTTCATACACAATACGCACACCATACTATGTTAGCTATCACGGTGATGACATGAAACGAACACGAACGAAAAAGAAACTGTAACAGTTGCGTTACAATATTCTCGCGTCACCGACATACGTCTGCTTATCATTTGACAGCCAATTATCGCAGCTTGATAATCAATAATCCATCAGACTGCACTCCCGAGCCACCAACACCTAAGGAATGCCAGGTCGACAAAGCAGTCCATCGGTATGCATTCCTCTAGTAGATCCAGCGCTCACTTATCATTGCTTGCATTTGATGTAGGTATGTCGATGATCGACTAACATAAAATATGGAATATGATACACATGGGGCTACCAAATGCCACATTTGGCCAAATCCTTTAACCCGCGCCCGGCTGGGGGTCCTGGATTTCCACGCCCTGCTGGGGGGGGGGGGGTGTTTGAACACCCCCCCTTGTAACTCGGCTCCTGGGCCACGTAGCGATACGCGGAAGGCGGCGTTCGAAAGAACGTCAAAAATAATGACGAAATCACTTCGGTCAATTTTTTGGTCAGGTCAAAGGTCAGGTCACCAGAGGTCATTGAAGGCAAAATTTCGCCGATTTCCAGGTCGAATGGCGAAAATTTCCAAGAAGCCAACGCATAACTCGGGAACCAATAGAGCTACAGCGCCGCGGAAAAGCGCATTCGATAGCCCTATTAACGCCCTTTCTGAGTAATTCTCTCAGATTTGACCTAACGTCAACGGTTTTGCCTGCAGGGGGCAAAAACTGCAAAAATAGCCGATTTTTTTGGAAACAGTTTTTCTGCAATAACTTTTGACCCAAGCCCTGTACGAGCTTACTTTTACCGGCATCGTGTTCCTCTCGTCAAGACGCATCGAATGAACTATAACTTGACCTTGAAAGGTCAACTTGAAAATTTGACCTCAGGTCAAGGTCATGACCTGACCGGAAAGGGTCATGTTGCATATCAGTCGATCCGTATCGTCGAGCTGAACACATCTAAGGCGTTTTCATCGCTCTAGCATGCCTCTATCAAAAGTTATTTGCGAAAAACTGTTAGATACCATTCGTGACCTAAGATGACCTCAGGGCAAAAACAAGGGTCACGGACACCATTTTCATGTTCAGTGTGTCTAAAACACTTGTAATTCGGTGTTTGGGAGTGTTTATAATGTCTTTCATCCAAAAGAGGCGCATTTCAATTTTCTCCCATTGACTTATAATGGGGAGGTCGCAAAATTGACCTGACCTTAGGTCATCGATATCAAAATTCTGAGATATACATTTTGTACATGCTATTGCTCTTAGCAATCGCTGAAAGTTTCAAAGCGATCGGTCACTCGGTGTAGCTATGACAGACATTGAAACTTTTTATGAGGTGAGGTCACTTCAAGTGACCTGGTGACCTGACCTTGAATGACCTTGGTCTGAAATTTTCACAACATGTGTAGAATTGATGTATGATAAGGTGTACCAAAAACGGCGGCGCTCCGCGCCGCCGTTTTTGAGATATTCGCGAAAAAACACAAGGGGGGGTGTTCAAACACCCCCCCCAGCAGGGCGCGGGTTAATCCCCTCATGTTGTTGAGGTTGTCGATTGAAAAGGTTAATCACATGAAGATAGTATCTTGATTTATGTTCCTGTGTGTCCGAGGTCATCTAGCTTGTTATCTTTCCGACCAGTTTGAATAAAGATATTCGACCAGTCTGACCAGCTTTTCATTTTGGGAATTCCGAAGTCGTTACAACCCGTCCAAACCACCCCCTACCCGTCTGTCTCTATCTCAGACTCCCTCCGCCTCCGCCTCCATCTGTCCCCGTCTCCATCTGTCCCTGTCTATCTCTCTGTCTCTCTGTCTCTCTCTGTCTCTGTCTCTCTCCCCCTCTCTCTCTCTCTCTCTCTCTCTCTCTGTCCCTGTCTCTATCTCTCTGTCTCTCTGTCTCTCTCTCTGTCTCTGTCTCTCTCCCCTCCCTCTCTCCCTTCCTCCCTCCCTCCTCTCTCTCTCTCTCTCTCTCTCTCTCTCTCTCTCTCCAATAAACATTGATTCGTCCTTGTTTTAATAAACAACAACACTTTTTGGTGAATTTGTATTTAGTAGTACCCTTCCAGAAGGATGCTACAAGGCCGCCAACGCTCTGCACATTACCTACATGCATCATATTTTGCTATTGTATGCCCCATGTAATAAGGTGCGTCACTGTAAAGTTCTAATCACCATCTCTCACTTCATAATAGCCAATTCAAGCCACCTGTAAATCACAGTCGTGCGACAAAGACGCCGACGTCACATGGCACAGCTACATATCGCGCTGCGTCCATTACTGCATTAGCCGCTTCCTGCGGCAGTGACCTGAGACACATCCAGGGCCGCTTCCCGCGGCGGTGACCTGAGACACATCCAGGGTCAGGGAGGAAAGGTGAATCGCCTCCTTATCGGAGTCGAGACGCTCTGGCCGCCGTGACCCTGGGCCGGTGGCGGGACGACGGGCAATCGGTGGAAATTCCAGTCACGCTCTAATGATAGACGATGTCACAGGACACAGTCTGGACTAGCAATGGGTCCATACAGCAGCCGGCCTACTAGACTGAGGCACAGCTAATATGTGTGACGGTCATCTTCTTGCGAAGCGGTGCAGGATGTTATTAGGAAGGATGACTGGAGGACCAGGCTCCAGGAAGCAGCCGAGGTATGACGAACTAGTTTCAAAGCTCTGAGAAACGTGGGTGGGGAAGTACTAATGTCGCGTATGACGTCAACGGTTCGATTATGAGTGCGTCGTAATATGTTGTACACACCACGCATATGTATGGTAAACTCCGGCATACGGCGCAGTTTGACCCTCGCCGGACTTATCGGTCTTCTACATTTTACACCACGAGATGAAACCCCCCGCCGTTTCACCCCCTAATTAAGCTAGAGCCTCGCGAAAAAAGGGGGTGCGCGCTGCTACGAGACGCAGCGAGTGGTACCCGACTTTAACCCTCGCCCGCACATGGGGGGGGGGGGTGGTTGCCACCCCCCCAGGTAGTCTTTCTGCTCTGCACTCAACATTTTTAGCGCTAGAAGGCTGATTTTTCGTATAGCTGCTCCTCTATCCTTTCTTGATGTCCACTGAAAATTTCAAGTTTCTGTGATTTTTGGTTTCGGAGATATGACCTTGTTTTTCAGGTCATGTCATGACCCAAATGACCAATTCTCAACATCTTGCGTTTGCCATGGGCCTTGCGAGCTTTTGACACCCTGATTTCGGCCTTTTTTGCCAGTATTACCTCCCACCTATCATGGAACATGTTGTTCGACGATGTACAGGGGTCAAGGTCAGGGTCAAGGTCAACCTAGGTCATCTAAGATAATTGCGTTTTAGGCAAGCTAAATTTACTTTTTTGAATTTTTTTTACTGCATTTTTGGTAAAAGCTTCTCAGAGCATGATTTCATGTAATATGGACCCAAAAACAATCGGTGCACATATCAATATACACACAGACACACACAGACATACAAACACATATAATTGACCTTGACCTAACTTGACCTGAAATGACCTCAGCTGCAAAATTTTGGTCGGGTAGTGTGACAAAGAGGTTCTAGCTGGCCTGGCACCAGAAAACAGCATCGTCATCGGTATTTGATAAGCAGCGCACTTGATATCCAACGGTGACCCAAAACAGCAACATTTTTTAGTTTGACCTGACCTGGAAGGTCAATGACTGACCTGAGAAGGTAAAACTGGGTATTATTGGATTCGTCTCATCCCAAAGAATCTTTTTGGTCTTTACCGCTAAGCTCTATCTCCAACAGGAACGAAATGGCGCGGGGGGGTGGCAACCCCCCCCATGTGCGTTCTAGGATGGGAAAATGGCATGTGCGGGCAAGGGTTAAGGTCTCAAGTCAACCGGTGACCTGTGAGGTCAGGTCCAGTGGCAAGAGGCACGGGCTCGGTTTTTGGACAATAACTTCGCCAAAAATAGTTGCAGAGGACTGAGGAGCGATTTTGGCATATTCGTGTTTCCCTAGCTCAGGCGCGTCGAGTGGTATACTTTTTGTTCGGGTGAGGTCAACTTAACCTTCGCCCTGGCAAGGCATTTTTAACCCGCGCACCGAACGGGGGGTGGAGGGGCGGTTATCCGCCCCCGCCCCCCACCCTGAGGTTTTTCGATAATAGCGGGAAAACCGCGGCGCGTAGCGCGGCGAAATTTAGCATGGCTATTCCCATTCCCATCCCTTTACACATGGTGTGCAACTTTCAATCTCCTACTTTTTAAGG